TTAGATCTATGGTTGATAAAATGAATAGATTATTAGAGAATGGATTAGAAAATAGCAAAGGTTCGTAGCCGTGACGTATAAGTACCAAAACGATAAATACCACCTTGCACATGGAATGACGTATATTTTCTAGCGCGACCTGGGACTTTCTCATGCATGCGCATCTTTTTCCATTGATGACGACGTTTTACAAGAGAATTTTTTGTACGTACAATTGTACTGGGATTCCTACGAACCTCCGAGAACAAAATCTGACCCATCTTCCAGCAAGCCACGAATGACGCCGACCTCAGTTTCATTTTCTTCTGTTTGCCACGATCCTTGGTTGTCGTGATCATACTATATAGAATCAGATTATTTCCCTCTTCTGAATCAACAAACGAACTCCCAATGCCTCCCAAAGAAGAAGAGATCGTGGAGCAAGGCGAAGCTCAAGCAGAGAATGCTGAAGTCGGTGACAAAGAAGCAGAAGATGTTGCTGGCGATAAAATGAAGCCAGCCACTCAAGACCCTACCATGTTCTCGGACGAGCGTGGAAATCTCAAGGCCGTCAACTTGGTCTGCCGTCACCCTTGCAAGATCTTTTGGTTCTTGATGATCTTTTGCTTTGTCATTTCCTTCTTGCTTCAAGCTATTGTCTTTGCAAATGCGGAAGACGGAAATCCTTTTACGACGCCCGAAAATGGTCAGTGTTTCTTGTTCGTTTGTTTATCGTTGTCGTGGTTGTTGATAGAACGATTGCTGGCTTTCTTGTTTGCTGGCGTTCCTACTGCATTATGTAACATGTATCTCACATTTCCACACACCTATTGCATTGCACTATAGAGTTTGATTTGGACGACATTCGTTCCATTCAATACGACAGTTTGCGTTTGGCCCGTGACGAGGTCCAGAAGGACCGTGATGCTGACAACCAAGGTGCGCAAGCCACCCCCAAGCAATCTGAAGTTGCCGATTTGGCCTATTGGGTCTACGAAGCCGAGACGGACGCCGGTGTCTTTGGTACTCGCGAATCCATTCAAGCCATGAAGGATGCCTTTGATATTTTTTGGGAGGACGACCGCTTTCCCGACTGGTGCCTCTTGGATTACCGTTCCTTTGTCGGCCCCAACGAGACTCGTAAGTGTTCTACTCCCATCACCAGTCTCAGCATGTACTACGCTTCGACTTGGGATTCCGCCAAGGTCGATTCGATTATCGAAACCTTGAAGGACGATGATTTGGTTGCCACCTACAACACTTTGGCTCTCTGCGTTTCACGTGGCCTCTACTGCGAATTGGTCCCCAACACTACCACTGCGGAAGAACGTGCCTTTACTCGCGAATTCACTGCCAACATTAGCAGTCAAGTCTTTTCGTGGGACATGCGCGGTGAATTGATTGAGAATATCACTCAAGGAACCGAATTGGCAGCTCACCTGTTGAAGGTGGATATTTTTAAGGGTCTCGTGGACTTTGGCTTTGACAAGGATTTCAGTGTCGAAAACCCGAAGTCCAAGTACTCCCGTGGTATCATCTTCTGGGGTGGTCCATTGGAAGCCCAAGAAACTGATTTGACTGCTGACGAAAAGGAAGCTCTCGAAGAAAACGAAGATGAGATTAGAAAAGAGTAAGTTACTACTGCCAACGATTCGTATGAAAATGGCTTGGGTACCATGCTCAAGTATCAAGTATCGTCAACATTCTCTCTCACTTTCCACTTTTTACAACTTTAGTTTCGTCATTGACAACTTTTTGGACGAGATGAACCAACAGGCCGAAGAAGACACCCATGCTTCCGTCAACTCATACTACTTTATGATTGCCATTATTGGTGATGTCATTTTGCAAATCGTTCTCCAAGATGCCCTCTTGGCCATTTTCAGTTTGGCATTTGTCTTTTTCTGGTTGCGCATCAACACTGGGTCTTGGTTCTTGGCTGCCGTTGGATTCTTTGAAATTGCCTTTTCCATCCCAATTGCCTGGTTCATCTTTTCGGTGATCTTCCAGATTCAATACTTTGCTACTCTCAACTCGCTCGCAATCTTTATTGTGGCTGCCATTGGAGCAGATGACATCTTTATATTTATGGATGCCTACAAACAATCCAGAATCCGTGATCCCGAAAACTTGGTCGATATCGAGACACGCATGTCTTGGGTCTACCGCCGAACCGGTACTGCCATGGCCATTACTTCTGCGACTACCTGCTCTGCTTTCTTGTGTACTCTTATCACACCATTGACCTCCATCCAATCGTTTGGTATCTTTGCCGCTGTGGTCATTTTGATTGACTACGTCTTGGTCATGACCCTCTTTTGTACCGCGGTTGTCATTTTCCACGACCGTCTCGAGGGACAAGCTTGCTGCGGATGCTGCTGGCCATGTGGAGTTCAAAATCCAACCAACACGGACAAGGCTCGTCAAGCATTGGAAGAAGCTGGAGAAGAACCAGTCCAAGGAGACCGTGTCAGCCGATTCTTCCGCAATCAAGTTGCTGGATTTGTCAAGAAGCCCCTCAACCGAGCTTTGATTTTTGTCCTCTTCATCACCTGGATTAGTATTGCCATCTGGCAAGCACTCCAAATCGAAGCCGCACAGGAAGCCGAACAATTCTTGAACGAAGACAATCCATTGCAAAAGTCCATCACCATTTTGAACAATGAGTTCCCAACTGCGGATGACGATCGTGGTTTGAAGGTCTACTACGCTTGGGGATTGGGAGAAGTTGACCGTGAGGGTGTCAACCTGCTCTTGGATCCTACCGACTATGGAGAACCAACCTTCGTCCAAGACTTTGATTTTAATGCTCAGTGCCAAACCGAGTTGGTCAAGTTTTGCGACAAGCTCAAGACCAACCCTGACTACAAGGATTTGATCAAGCAACGCAACGGTGTTGGAGAAGTTTACTGCTTCATTGAGGAGCTTGGTGCCTTCAATGCCAAGGGTGACTTGGATGACTGCGAATACGTCACACGTGGAGACTGGAAGAACGAAACCTGGCAAGTCGACCCCGCCAACATGACTGATGTGATGGATCGGTTCTTGCAGCAACGAACATGCTTTGACGAGGATGGTGTTGAAACTACCTCTGGACGATACGCCGACGAAATGGGATGGGACGGAAACAAAATGAAATACGCCGCCGTTTCGGCCGAGAGTATCATTTTGACTCCTTTCTCTGTAAACTCGGAAAGGGTTACTCGTCGCGAGTATGAACGATTCATCGCCGTCGGAGAAGAGGCTAACCAAGTCATTTCCCAATACTGCTCTGGAGACGTTATTATTACTGATTTGGATGAAAAGTTTGTCTTTATGAACAACCAAGCCATCTACGTCCAAACTGCCTTGCAAGCCAGTATTCTGGGTGTGGTCATTGCCTTTGTGGTACTGTTGTTCAGTACCCGAGTCTTCCACATTGCCTTCTTTGCCAGTATCTCCATCACCTCCGTCTTGGTCAGTGTTGTCGGAACTATGGTCATGTTGGGATGGTCGTTGGGAAGTATCGAATCCATTTTGATTGGTATCATTGCTGGATTCAGTGTCGATTACGTGGTGCACTTGGCGCATGCGTATGAGATTGCCGAAGGTGACACCTACGAACGGGTGGAGGAAGCCTTTGCCGACTTGGGAATCAGTGTGTTCAACGGAATGGTAACCAGTGTTGCCGCCAGTATTCCGCTTTTCTTTTGCTCATTGCAATTTTTTGCCAAGTTTGGAACTTTCTTGTGTTTGACCATTGCATTCTCATGGATCTTTGCTAACTTTGTATTCATGAGTATCTTGGCACAATTGAAGATTCCCATCAAGAAGGGCGGATTCCGCCTATAAAGTGGAGAATGAATCAGTGCATGTTGGATTTTTTGCACTATACATTCAGTAAATTTTAGGTATTGCATTATTATTTGTTACTACAGTATCTTGTTCGTCTTACGCAGGGTGTCCTCGAGATGGGGTGTCATCGAAGTTGAGTCATGAGATTAGTCATAGTAGACTACTGTAGTTGGATTTTGGAATGTGTCTGTCCATAACAACGGCAAGTTATACGGTTCCGGTATGCATACCGCGGTACGTCATCATGCGCAAATCTTTCAATCACCACAACTTCTACAACCTCTACCACACCACACAACAATCAACAAGCTTTTGCGAAAGGATGACAATGCTTAAACTTGCAATGTTGCTGCTGTTATCAGCATCTACGATAATATCAACAAAAGCCTTTTCGCCACTATTCCGAGGGGAAGCACGCCTCTTTCTTGATACCGCCGACACAACGATATGGCAAGAACTTCTGCCAACGGGAATCTTTCATGGCGTCACTACGAATCCTACTCTACTGGAACGTGCAGGGGAACCTTGCACCGTAAAAAATCTGCACAAAATGGCCAAACTTGTCCTGGAGCATACGGATGAATTCATGTGCCAAGCCTGGGGATCCACTGCCGACGAATTGTACGAATGTGGAATGGCCTTGTCGCAACCTTCCCGAGACCGCATTGTCATCAAGGTCCCAGTGACCCAAATAGGAGTGGAAGCTGCTTCCAAACTGATCCAAGCCAACTGCCGTGTATGTTTGACTGCCTGCTACAATCACAAGCAAGCCATGATTGCTTGCAGTGTTGGCGCCGAATATTTGGCACCCTATTTGGGTCGCATGACGGATGCCGGATTGGATGGATCGGCCGAATGCTTGAAAATGCAAGCTATTACGGAGGGAATGAAGAGTGACACTCGCATCTTGGTCGCGAGCATACGGAATGCCCAAATCATGGTGGATTTGGCAGCCTCAGGAATGGAAACCTTTACCTTTTCTCCAGAAGTTGCTCGGGAACTCTTTGTAGAGCCACTGACTACGGAAGCGGCGGCTGTTTTTGAAGAAGCTGCCGCAAATGGAGCTTCCTCATAGCGAATCAGTGCCGTGTCACCATGATTTTCTAGATTATGATCGGATTATGGACGAGCTATCTACACTAGGCCTATTCTGCTATAGCATGAAGTGGACGACAAGGGAGCATTCTGATAAACCGTCAAGAATGGACAACATACAATCCAATATGGATACGAAGTACCTACTGTATAAGCTACGAAATCCTAGTTTGATCCAAGATGAGATTAGTCTGTAATACTCTTGGAGTCGTCGTGCCCAGCCCAAACACACCACTGCAAATATCTAGGCCGTTCACATATCATAGACAGGGAACGAAGGCTAGGACTAGTAGAGCGTCAAGGTGTAACGACCAAGACCTAGAGTAGAAATGACGAAATTGTGTGTCTGAAACTATGAAATCGATGTGGATTCAAGATGGGAATAGTTTGTATTGGAGCCATGCCCAATCGTAACTTGCCACTACTGCATTGGCAACTAAACCGTCCCGACTAGGCACAGCCAGGGATCGAAGGCTGTCATTGGTAGAGCGACAACATGAAGCAACCAACAAAGATCTTGTATGCTTCGCGGAAGAAACTGGGAAATCACGATTGATCCGGGGCAACAACCGCCCCCATCAAGCCAGCGTCTACAATATCCTGTTAGCTAGATCACTACGAGAATCTGTCAGAAGAGGAGGGAAATGAATGTTTCGTCTAGAATAATTTGCATGCTGCTCTATGTTCAATGTGTAGTAAGAATAGATAAGAGTTCCTGCTTGCCTGCATCAACAGGATAGCTTGAATTCAATGTCGGGCGTCGACGATTCTTCGTCACCCCAATCACTGCCCGTGTCGACAGAAACCTCACCCACCGCTCGTGTATCCTGCGAATCCAGTTTGTGCACACGGCCTTCCTTTCGGTCTTGCAATTCCAAGATTTCTAGCTGTGTGGAAAAAACCCGTTCTTGCATGTTTGCCAGAGCTGCCTTCTTGAGTTTCAGCTTTTCCTCGAGTGTTTTCATTCGTTCTATTCGAGACGACGTATCATTGGGTGAAGTTTCTGGAGTCACCTCTGGAGTCGTCTGGGGTGTCGTTTGTGTTGGACCTTTCATGGTTGGTTGTCTCCAGCGTCTCATTGTTGTTGTTGTAGATCGGAAGTTAGGTTCGTAGGTAGACAATACGATTGAGTAGTCCTGCCAAATTTTTTGTGGAGGCTTCCGTTTTCGACTTTTTTGTCGTTTTCTCAACCGATGATCATAACTTTCTCACGTTTCGCGAAAGATGCGAAACATTGCCGCGCGAGACAGCCTTCGAAACGGTTCTCAATCGGGTTCGCCTCCATAAATGCTCCTCGTTGAGTGCAATCACGAATGATCGATATCGTTATAATTAAAAAGTGATTCTTCCATCGCTTAATTGAAATATGATTGCGGAAACGCTCTGTATTAATTAATATTAGAGATTTTTGACTACTAGTGTCACCACCCGTTATATGGAGAGTTGGACTGGTGCTCGCACCTCTCCCATTTACACTCACAATGTTATGGTTCAAAACTTCCGACCATTTGTATCTAACCTTGACAATTTGTATCTGTTGAACTTGAATAACAAAGGAAGGTAGAGAAACTCTCGTTGGCGTCAACAACGAAGAATAGACACAACCGCACTTCCTTTCTTCCATGTTGTTACTAGGTGTCGTGTAGCTAATAGATACTGCTGGTACTACTAGCTGGTAGGCGAGTAGTACTGTAATGAAACAGCTCTAAGCTATCATGGCGAACGTGAAAGCAATCACGTTGAGTTATTAGTAAATTTGATGCATTCTTCTTGACATGGTCACGATATACTGTATGCTATTATAAAATATGTTCGCAAACTTAAAAGTAATAACATACGGTAGGCGAGTTGTGTCGTGATGAGGAGTAAGCACAAGCTTGAAAGCAGGAAGCATTGGTTCAAAATTTGAAATGCTGAGCTCATTCTCACGTTCACCAACTGTTGAAGAATACGAGGTGTTGCTTACAGGTTGTGCGAGGTGAAACCAATGGGTACATGTATGACGAATCTAAACCAAGTCGATACCAGTGTGTTTTTCGAACATTAAAAGATAATAAAGCAGACTGTAAGCTATAACAAGTTCTCTGGTGATGGATACGACCATACCAACATGACAGCACCGCTTCCCGTCCGCTCAGCGAAGTTAAGCATATTCGGGCCTGGTTAGTACTACGGTGGGGGACCACGTTGGAATCCCAGGTGTTGTATTCCTTTTGTCTTTTATCTTTTTCAATTCCATGTCATATATATACATATTATACCGGTAATGTTTGCACAGCATTTGATTCATTTACTCTACAAACAATCCCAGAGCGCAAATAACCCTTGCTCCTGCGATGGTACTGTAGACTATGGTAAAGGTTGCCAGTTTATGATTGACGACTTCGATCTTTTTATCCGTGACTCGCAGGATGATTCTCATCCACGGATGTGGAAGTTGAAAACGTACTGCGTACACAGTACGTACTGTAGATCTTGATGTCGTTGATCCATTCCATATCACAAATGCGGTGCAGAACGACAGAACTTCGAACTGCCATGGATCGAGCTTGCACCAACATTGGGAGGAAGAGGCCCCTATCTCATTCCACGGCGACACTATCCACGCTGGAAATTGACGGATCCAAAGGAGAAGGAGGAGGCCAGATTATTCGCAACTCGGCTGCCTATGCTGCCATTCTTCAGAACCGAAACCTAAGGCTCTTCAATATTCGGGCCAAGCGATCCCAACAAGGCTTGAAGAGGCAGCACTTGGTGGCATTGGAATTGTTGGCCCAAGCGTCTGGTGCCACTTTGGTGGGGGGAGCTGTGGGATCGACGGACGTTACAATGAAATTTCAGGAAATGGCCGAGTCATCATCACGAAATGAAACGCCAACTCCAAGCCAATCCCTGGTCGGAGACACTCAGACGGCAGGATCTATTTGCTTGCTGTTACAAGCGGTTATTCCATTTGCTCTTTTTGCAAACAGAGCCATACAGTGGTCGTTGAAAGGAGGAACCAATGCCACCATGGCACCTCAGTTTGATTATTTTGAACAAATATTTCTACCAACACTCCAACTGGCTGGACTGCCGCTGGAAGCCGTCAAGTCCAAAGTAACTCGGCATGGCTACTATCCCAAAGGTGGCGGAGATGTCATGATCCATACCACACCCCTGGCTTCTTTTCTGTCGCCTATCATCTTGCGAGACCGAGGACACATTGTAAATATTCGAATTATTGCCTTCCATGGGGGCAACTGCCCTGGACATGTGGCGGATCGAATGGCAAAAGGCGCCCATGCACATGTTCAACAGAAGTATCTTGGCATTTCAATACAGAAACAAGTTACCTTCCACCAATCTGCCGTGGGTGCTGGCTCGGGAATTCTCATTGTCGCCCAGACTGACACTGGCTGTCGACTGGCCGGGTCTGCTTTGGGATCTCGAAAGGAGTCACCCCAACAAACGGGTCGAATGGCCGCCGAAGAACTATGTTCAACATTGCGAGATGGAGGATGCGTGGATGAGCATCTGCAGGATCAGCTAATTCTTTACATGGCTCTGGCATCCGGGAAGTCCGAGATTGTGACGGGGTCCGTGACACTCCACACACAAAGTGCAATATCGGTTGCCGAGCAGATGTGTGGGATTGCCTTTGAAGTCGAAAAGCTGGATGATGACACTACAATCGATAAAGTGGATAATAATGGACGTCTGAGGGGACGCCATCGCATCAGTTGCCATGGCATTGGATTCCTGGGCCGGTATTCTCAAGACAGAACGACAAGTGACAAAGATTAGATAAGTTGAATGAAGTTCTATGAAATGAAATAGAATGCTTCGTACTTGATTTTTACAATTGAAACGTTATTAATTTTAACAGAATGCAGGTTGTGTGTGTGACTATTAGAAAACAGGTGCTAGTGTGGAATTTGCAATGAGCTGTAAGGATTGCACCAGCTACGCATCACGAACTGCGTATTATGCTATGGTAGCCAGCTGACGCTTCTCTTCCTACTTTGACGGGGCAACGATCCATGGGTAACGGTTTACTGGCCATTGGTTGCTTTCTGCGTCGAATTGACCTTGCCAGTAGTACTGTCGAAACCTGCAAGATCAAGTCCAAGGAGGCGTGCAATTCCATCAACGTGGAGCTTGGCATTTTGAACTGGTGCCTTTTGCATACTGGATGCATCGCCACTGATTGCTTGAATGACTGTCATGAGCATCATGTCGCGCCTCTTGGATTCGGCACTGAGCCTGACGACCTCGGCCTTCATGAAGTCAAAGTACTGAAGTTGTTCAGTGAGTCCTTGGACCTTCACTTCCTTTTGTTCCAAGTCGTCCATCGCGTTGGAAAGATCTTTTTCCAAGTTTACGAGCTTTTCAAGCAAATTGTTGAGCTTGTCTCCGTTGTGGCCATTGGATCTCTCCCATTGCAATAGTTCTTGTAATTGATCACGGGCCTTTTCGAGTGACTTGATCTTGTTCTTCTCTTGTTCACGAGTTTCCTTGTGCTTGAAGTGCGCCTCCTCAAGAATGTCAGCCTTCTTTTGGGTATTGTAAAGCGTGGAGTTCATTTGCTTGTTTTCATCCTTCAGGTCAGCAACTTTTCTCTTCTCTGACATAAGGAGAGAAGTGATACGAGAAACTTCAGTTTCAAGATCTCGAACACGGTCTCTTTCAAACTCAAGAAGAATCTCTTGAGAGCGAACGCCCTTTTGGAGATCCTTGATTTTCATTTGCTCTGTTTGAGCAATACCCTTTTGGTCGACAGCGCTCTTTTCGAACTCGGCAGCCTTCTTCTGCTCGTTGGAGAGTTTTGTTGACTTTTCTTCAATCGATGATTCCAGCTCCTTGATCCTTTCGTTGGCTCGTCTCAAATCCTCAGCGATTGACTTCAAGTCCAACGCCTTTTCATACCCTGCAACGGCAGCTTCAATTTCGTGCAAAGGAGCTTCGATCCCTTCATTCTCGGGGTCCTTGATGCCCTGTCTGTTTGCCCTGCTTTGTTCTAGAATCGTCTTATTAGTCTCGTATTCTTCACGCATGGCCATGACAATTTCACGCTCAGATTGCAGAAGTTCAAGCGTTTTGCTGTGTTCTTGTTCCAAAGCTTCATATTTGCTCTTTTCACTCAGCAGGGCTTCTTCTTTCTCTTCAAGAAGTTTTGAAACAGGCTTGACCTTCTTCTCCAAGGCGTCTCTTTCTTCCTTCAGCTTCGCAATCTCAGAATGGAGATCCCAAACGCGTGCACGCTCATGAGCAAGATCCTTCTCGATCTCCTGCATGGCCCAAACTTTTTCCTCCTCAGATGGGCATGGACATTCAAGGCTTTGATCACGATCCGTTGATCTTCCCTTAATCATCATTTTAGCAGCCTCCTCGAGCGTACGCACTTTCTTAGTTTCGTTCTCAAGTTTGGAGATCAATGTGAGTCGCTCTTGTTCGAGTCCAGCTACTTTTTCCGTTTGTTCATTTAACTGTTGTTCCAACAGATCACGTTCTTCGGTATTGGAGTTATCCTTGCTTTCTGCTTCGTCCTTTTCTGCGGGTGAAACTTCTTTCGCTTCTCGGAGTTGAGAAATCTTTTTGTTCAAAGTTTCAACAACACCACGCATATTTTCTTGCTTCTCTTCAACAGTCTTGATTTTGATTTGCTCCGCTTCCAAGTCTTTTTGCTTCTTATTGATTAGGAACCGCATTTCGGCATGCAGCTCGTTCTTGGCAGTTTCTAGATCAGAAACCTTCGCTTGCTCTGAGGCCAAGAAGCGCTTGACCAAATCCTTTTCCGCCTCTAGCTCCTTTAGCTTCTGCTGTTCCGCCTCGAATGTTCGAAGCATAGCTGTCTCGCGCGCCTCGTAGTCTTGAAGTCTTAGTAGTTCTGTCTCGAGTTGGGATTGAGTTTCATTGAGATCATGTTCGAGACCCAAGACTTTGGCACGTTCTTTTTGCAAAACAAGTTCGTAGTGGATTTTTTTTTCCTCCATTGAACTTTCAATCTTCATGTGTTCTTCATCTTGTCCTTCGATTGTTTCCTTAAGCAAGCCTTCTAGCTGGTTGAAACGGTCATGCTCTGATTCCAAAAGCTCGTTCATTCTTTCCACATGTTGCTCGAGGTACTGAACCCTCTCTTTTTCTTGCTTAAGTTCAGCTTGGAACGTTGCCTCTTTGTCACAGAGTTCAGTTTCGACGCTCTCTCTGAGAACGGTTTCATATTCGATCTGGTCTCGCAATTCTCGTTCGAGGACCTCAAACTTTCTTGTGATTTCTTCGAACTTCATAATCTCTTGATCATGTTCTTGAAGTAGAGCTTTGGTGTATGCTTCGTGGTTACGGCTAGCATCTTGCATTTCCATTTCCAGTCGAGCATTCCTGATGCGCTCTTCTTCCACTGCATGTTCGTACTCAACCTTTTGTTGATTCAAGGCCTGCTCCATTTGCTGTCTGGACTTCACAGTGATTTCATGTTCGAGACGTCCAATAATATCTCTCTTCACACCATGAGCGCTCTCAAGGACTGCAACTTTTTTCTCCAAAAGGTTTTTCTTCTCCAAGTTTGTTTTTTGCACGGCCTTCATCATGCTGTGCTCCTTTTTCAGGAGCTCAAGCTTTCTTGCTTGGGTTTCCCGCATCATGATCGCCTCTTTCGAATCGGAAGAAAGTCTGTCTTTTTCTTCTTCAAGAAGCCGTACCTTCTCCTGCTCTCTTCCAAACATGAGCGCAAAGCTGCGTTCACGATGGTCGAACTCTGCTGTCATTCTCTCGAGCTTTAGTTGTGCAGTGTTCAAGTCCTCGCGAACCTCATTGAATGTCTTTCCAGACTGCTCAATCAAGCTAGTTCTAGCACTGACGTTGCGGCTCTTCAATGTTCGCTGAATTCCAGTGACAGCTTCCCGTCGCGTTTCTTCATTTTGAAGTTTGTTTGCGTAGTCGAGAGGAACCATTGCATAGATATCACGAACCTTGGATCCTTCAGGGTAGGAGGCGAGGAGCACATTCATAACTCCTTTTGAGAAACCCCACTTGCAAGCAATGTGGAGAGGAAGCATAAGGTCGCTCTCATTGCGAATCTTTGCGGCGTCAGGATAAGCTTTGATGAGAAGCTCAACCGCTTTTGCTGATGCACAGGCACACGCATAATGCAAAGGTAGGTATCCCTTTTCACCCTTTTTGCTAACAGCCTTAGGATTTGCTCTCAACAGAGCTGCAATAACATCTGCTGGCGGGTCAATCCGGCAAGCTTCATGCAAAAGAAGATTTCCCTTCGTAGCGATTGAGAGTCCCTTTACTCCACAGGATAGATGGGTTAAAGCACATCGAGGATGCAATTCGATGTACGATGCCAGAGCTTTCCAGTTTCTATTTTGGAAAAGGGGAAACATTGTTGTTGTCTCTGATGCATCATCTTCTTCCGGTTCAAGGTAAGATTGAAGAACGTCTCTTACTGGATCATCGAATTCAGTCATATCATCATATTCCTCCTCATCACCCTCCTCCTCGAAGTATTCCTCAACTTCTTCTTCTTCCTCCTGCTGGTGGTGTGGCATGGCGCATTCTTCGGGCTCAAGATAACGCGGTTCAGGTTGTCTAAACTCCTCAGGCTCACGGGTGCTTTCATTGTTTCTGATCATCGCAATTTGATTTGCAAGCTCCCTTGCGTCCTCGGGATCTTGACGGGTTTCGTACTCCGGTGGCGATGGTGCCGACGTGGTATTATTTCTCGTTTCAGATGCTGCTGATCTCTTGTTTAGGAATTTATTCCATCGCCGTTCTACATCGCCCTCCCTTGGCTTCAGCCAGGATTTGTCGACAGTCTTCACCATCTTCTGACTTGCTTTTGGAGTGCTTGTTGGATGTGCGTATGGTTTCTGTAATGATTGATTGATATCGGATGTTTCTAGCGATTTGTTTTTGCGAAGGATTTGTGATTGGCGATTGGCGTGGCGCGCTCGCAACGACAATTGCTTTTATCGGGTTGGTGGCGTGGCGCGATTACTTCGACCAAGTTTGAGATCGAATACAGGTACACTAGAAGTGATAGTAGTCTCAAGCGCCAGCTGTTTTTTAAAATACGATAGTGCATTATTCTTCTTACAACTAATTGTTTCCATAAAGTGACCGCAGTTCTGCAACACGTGAGCCGTCATATTTGAAATGGGTTGGGTCGTCCTTTTCCAAAGCTCTCTTCTCCTCGCGGAGTGACTTTTTCATGCTAATCACCTGTTGCAAGTACTCAATCGCCGCTTTCTCGGAACAAAGCAATTCCTCTTTCTCTTGAATGGCACGCTGAATTTCTTCCTTCTCCGTTTCAATTTGCTGCTTTCGTTCGGCACATAAAGCTTTGTGTTCCCGCATTTTTGACGCTTCCATTTCCACCAGCCTACCTTTCTGAGCGATAGAACTTTCAAGCGCCTTCTGCTTTACCTTTTCAAGATCAACCATAGCATGCTTTCGGACGATGGTATTTTCAATGTCTACGACCATGCTCTTTTCCTTGGCCATCTGCTCTTCCTTTTCCTTTCCGAGAATTTTCAGACGTTGGACTTCATCCTTTTCCTTTTGGATTAGCTGGTAGTACTTCTCTAGACTTTCCTCAACCTTTTTTGCACTCGCTTGGTGGTCTTCAGCCAGAGATGCGTTTTCCAGTTGCTTGGAGAAAAGTTCCTTCTTTTTCTCTTCTTCTTGATCAATCAGCTTTTGCCGAGACTCGATGCTTCGCTTCAACTCCTCCATGATGTCTTCGTTGCGTTTGACTTCTCCGCTTGCGTTCTGAATATCAAGGAAAACCTTCAGCCGCATGCTTGTATGGTCCAGCTTGATCATTGTCTTTTCCAATTGAGCTTCATTTTCTTGGAGGGCCGCTCGTAGTTCTGTCGCTTTGGTCTCCTCCTGTGCTGCACGCTTATGGGACGAAACGAGCTTCTCTTCTAATTCGATGACTCGGCTCTTTGTGTGTTCTAACGTCTGATCTCTCTCCGCCAATGTAGCCCGTAGCTGCATAACTTGATTGCGTTCGCGTTCAAGAAGCTCTTTCTTGGTGGCAATACTCTCCTGTTGCTTCTTGCCGATAACACTCTTCTCTGTCTTGAGCTCCTCTTTGAGTTCATTGACCAGCTTTTGCAAAGCTTTCCCCTTTTCTTCTTCAGCATTCAAGTTGTCCAAAGTACCTGACACCTTTTCCTTCAATCGACTGACTTCTTCGGAGTCGATATTAACGCGTCTCTTCCTCTCTTCTTCCATGGCCGTTTTGTCCTCGAAAAGTTTCTTTTCGAGAGTCTCCATGTAGAGACCCGAACTTCTCAATTTTGCATCTTTTTCGGCATTCTCTTTTTCGAGTCTAGCGATCATTTTGAAAGCAGAATCCAACAATGCTTTGGAAGACTCTGAGCTCTTTTGCTTGGGATTCACGTTCTCCTCATCAACTGGAGAAGGGCAGTCAAGATCAATTTTCTGTGCACTTTCGATGATTTCTTTTTTGTGTGGAGGTGAACTAGACCATGTTATCACTTCCTCTCCAGGATTTCTCTTGTCGATTGCCACAACTGGAGGGATCACATGACCCTTAAACTTCGATGCTTTAGAGAGTTGCTCGCTCGCAACAGTCGCATCATCCCCAGTGCTTCTGGCCTTCTTCTTGGCTAAGTTGCTCATCTCCGCTCTTTTCATTAGGAGCTCGAGCACGCTTTGTTTGGGAAAGTCGTTGTGGGGGTCCCGGTCCCGTTTGGTTTTCTGGATGGGCGCAACGGTGTTTTCTGCGGCTCCAGCAGGCACACACTGTCTGTCGGGTTCTTCTTCGGATACCTTTTCCTGACTTTCCACAGTGTCTTTCTTGCATGTCTTTGTTGCAACAAGTAGCTCATCGCATGGGACATCTAAAACGTTGCCAAAAGAAGGTTGTGGCTCAACCCCCCACTCGTTAGATTCCATAGTCGGATCAAGAGCAGCGTTGTTCCGGTTTCCTGACTTTGTTTGTGGAGACGGATGATGTTGTTCAGTTGGAGGCTGGAAATCCATCCCCTTATTGTCATCAATGCGATTGACACCCAATAATTCATCGCCACGTGTTGGAGGATCTCTTTTGTTCTTGGACTCGTTGAAGGGTTTTTGCTCAACCAGCGGGGGTGCTTTCTCGCCAACAGGCTCCGAGGTGGTGGAGTTTTGTCCATCTACAGCATTCCTATCGTACTTGTTCATTATGTCCCAGCTGTCGTCGGAACCCGACTTTTCCAGGATGGCACTGTCATTTTCCTCGGTAGTATCGGTATTGTCACGCTTCAAGTTGTTCTTCTCAAGATCCTCGCTGGTTGAGGATTTGTTGGAAACTAGCACCACTGGTGGGATGGAGTTAACAGCAGAATAATCTGGGAAGCCATAGGGATCGTTGATCATACGGTGGTAACGTTCAGTGTTGCTCACTTTCTCTTCTTCCAATAGACTTTCGGAATCCGACATTGTAGAAGCAGAGAACAAAACTTCACGATCATCCTCTGCTCCGTAGAGGCTTTCACCGTGTTCTTCTCGTTGATGTTCAACTGGCTTCTCAACCGGTGGCTCATCCTCATCAACTTCAATATTGGGACGGCAGTGACTTTTGGGGTTCTCACGAATGTTTTCGACGGGATCACGCGCCTCTCTATTGGTAGCGGCCGCCAACTTGGTAGTTTGCGATTGATTCCATAGCGAGGTTTTCTGTCGTTGCAACCTTGCTTTCTTCAATCTTGCCAAATATTTCTTGGCCGTCGAGGAGGCTTCCCACTTTTCGTCATCCACGTGCTTGACGCGAGACGAAGGCAGCTCCTGTACCATATGGCCATCAAAGGAAGGCTGTTCCGACGACATGGACATCATGCTCATTCTTGCTTTTTCATATTCCGTTTCGATCTCCATACCATCTTTGGTTTGGTCGATGACTCTCACCTGAAAGGAAGGCATGGTATTCGTCTCGGCTGGTGGTCGGAATAGATTTGGAAGCCTTTTTTCCTGTTTCTCATGTGTTGTGGTGGCGAAGAGCGATGTTGGAGGGAGCTTGCATGGAAGTTGGCGATCGGCTAGTCGCTGATTTCCGTATTTCGGAGAACTAGAGACTGGTGTTGTGACGCGGTTTCAGTACTCGTACTCATGCAATGACGAAATGGGAAGAAGTGTTTTGAGGACATACACGCAAACGGTTTAGAAGATACATTTCAATGACTTGCGGGAAGAGCTCTATATTCCTAGTATCACGTAGTCGCGATTGATGTGCGTGCTGGGAAACAAGTGGTGCAGAATGAATCAAACCAACAAGACACTCATTGGAAGTAATCGTGGCTACAGTAGAGTATTATTCTATCAATCAATTGGTTATGGGATTGCCAATTTGTTGTGTGCTCGAGTGATTGATTGATCCCAGAATGGAAATCACATTATGATTGAAGATTATATCTACCGGTACCGGTACAGGCGTATGTATGGCCATGGTTGGAATGGACGAGAGTTGCTGCGGTGACAGAAGGCCTTTGGGCCGCCGCACAAGTTACTGTACCAGGAATTGATTCGCCTACTTGCTAAAAAGTGCAACCAGCTTGAACACCAAATGCTGTGTCTCCGAAAGCGTTGTTGCCTGGCAGTGCAGAGTCCGTTGCAACAATTTTATGAGAATACGCAGTAGAGGTCCTTCTAGGTACTAGGAAAACAAAACGAACTTACCCAAATAACAGGTTTCGAAAGTTCCACTAGCTTTCAACTGAGGAATATTCCCGTTCAGTTGATTAGTTTCTAGTGCCAAGAAAAAAAGCAAATTCGATTATGAGATATCAAACAAAACACTGCTACGACAGCCATCATTCGAATTGACTTACGCAGCCTCAAGTCTGTCAATGCTGTCAAGTTTATAATCGCAGAAGGAATTTTCCCAGTGAGAGGACCGTCCATATCTGTGACGCACGAACAGAAGCATGAGGCATTTCCAACAAAGCTCAATTCCAGGTATTTCTTCTTACTTACCATACAACCACAGCAGTTTGAGCGCTGATAAATTTCCGATCTCTGAGGGAAGCGACCCCATGAAATTGTTTCTTTCTGTAGGGCAAAAGTGTTTCGCATGAGCCAAAAGCTGTTGTCTCAAAAAGCAACGATACCATTCTGATGCGACCTCTTACCAAAGTTAATCACTTCTAGTGCTGCCAAGTTACCAATCTCGGATGGAATTGTGGAGCCAACATCAGTATGACCTAAGCAAAATTCGAAGAAAAAGCATGAGATGGTAATGTTCAACATCCGTGCGGCCACGTCGAGTCCATATTCCAGTGCGCCTTACCAAGGTTGAAGTACGCGAGATCCGTCAAACGACCAACCTCTGTTGCCAAACTTCCACTCAAACTATTGCCGTAAAAACTTAAAAACTGCAGTCCTGTCAACCCATAAAACTCTGTTGGCAGTGGGCCACTTAGAGCAGGGTTTGTGCCATACGGTACGGCAATATCCAAATATTTGAGTCCCGTCAATAGACCAATCTCTGATGGTACGGTGCCGCTTAAAGCATTGATGGCTACGATTTCAACGAAGATCACAGCAGTGTGAGGCGAGGCAGGTAATCGAAACAACAAAGGTAGTCAACCTGAAACCGTACCTAGATTCAACGTTCCAAGTGTCTCCAGCCCAGCAATCTCGGTTGGAATGCTCCCAATCAAATTATCATTGACTATGGCCAGATCGATGGAGGAAGAAATGTGAGTTTTGATGCAGCTGGAAAACAAGCATCGCGAAACGGTTCAATTGATCTCACAGAAATCTACCGATTCTAGCTCCGTTAAGAGACCGATCTCCGTTGGTATGGAGCCTCCAAGACTTGGGTTTTCTCTCGTGGTCAACGTTCTGAGCTTAGTACAAAGCCCAATCTCTGTTGGTACAGTCCCAACGAGTGCATTTGTGGATAGAGCCAAGTTTGTGAGTGTGGACAATTCTCCAATCCTGGAGGAGATGGTACCATCCAAACCTTTATTATCAAGATATATTGATACCACATTTTCAGCCGAATCACAAGCAATACCACTCCAAACACATTTATCCCCGGTCGATTCCCATCCATTTGAAGAGGATGCGAATTGTGCATTCAAACCGCCGTATAGATCCATCAATATCGGGCGCACATCAAACGAAGTTGGACTACTGGTGGGGCCGGAAGTTGGGCTTTGAGTTGGAGCCTCTGTGGGAGCCTTTGATGGACTACTTGTTGGTTCGGAAGTTGGGCTTGCCGTTGGACTACTGGTCGGGCCGGAAGTTGGGTTTGCCGTTGGACGCTTTGTTGGAACCATTGACGGAGCCGCCGATGGCGCTGCTGATGGACCCTTTGTGGGTACTAGTGTTGGTGGTGGCGTTGGGCCGACCACTGGAGCCAACGTAGGGGCAATGACTGGTGCCCTGGTTGGGCTTGTGGTTGGGTTGTCGGTTGCCAAAATTGGGGCCGCGACAGGAGCCTTTGTTGGTGCTTCGGTCGGGGATCTTGTCGGCTCAAGAGTAGTAGGACCAACAGCTGGGGCAAATGATGGTTTGGATGATGGTGCATCAGTAGGCTCAACGATAGGCTTAACGGTTGTTGGACCAGAACTCGGGCTGATGCTTGGTTCATCTGTTGGTGAGGTGGGAGCAGCTCGAATGACCACAAGATTGGACAAAAGAGTTCCCAGGCCCAAAACGTTGACAGGCAAAGCACGAAGAGTGGTTACCAAATAGGCTTCAACGAAGGTGAGCTTCGTATCTTCGTCGCGAAGTGAAAGATCCACCAAGACGCTCACGCGATGACAGAGCGCAGCAGTAGGCTCGTCCTCGCAGCCAACTTTTGTTACAATGACTTCTCCAATTTTTCCGTTTGCAATTGAAAAGTTTGGCAACAATTGCAGTTGCCTGTGTTGCTTGCTCTTGGTCTCGCGAAGCCAACGACGAGTCGAACAACCGGCCATGATAGGAAGGAAAACTGACTGAAGCTGTTCCTTGAGAGGCCTTATCCAATATTCCTCTGCCATTTGAGAGTTCAAGGTTGCATTAAACTCAATGACAAACTCTCTGGAAGTGAAGCTGTCTTGGTCCGACAACGTCAAGCCAGATGCAATGGCCCCGCAATCCTCTTTACTTGGTGGAGTGTAGATTTGCAACTCGGTGGGATTGTTGGAAGGCGAAGTACTGGGTAGTTGTATAGCAGTAGTATTGCCACCTGCCGTAGTTGGAGGGGTCGTTGGCACTAGTAGAGCTTCGGTGGGAGACTTCTTGGAGGTCCCCAGAATATATCCAGCAACTCCTCCACCGATTGCAAGAAGGAGGAAGAAGATGCCAGCAATGCATTTCCGACGATTCTTGGGATGCTGCCCATGAGCTTCATTCGTACCATCGGCATCAGTGTCGTCTTCCGTGTCATGATTTTGTTGTGCCATATTTTGCATTTGATGCTTGAGCGCTTCAATCTGAGCCTGTTGTTCTTTGAGCTGCTCGTTCTCGACATCTTCCACAGCCATTGCCTTCAACGCAACAGCACCAGTATCATCAGCTGGCTGCTCGACTGGATCCACCACAACGTCTCGCTCTTTGGGAGGTACACCACCACCATTCTTGGCTCGAATCTTGGCGTCACGATCTTTCTTGCGATTCCGATCCTCTCGATTGGGTCGGTTCTTTCGTCTAGCCCGATCGCTTTCGTCTGCTTTGGACGCAGTGTGGGCACCTGGTTTGGCAGACTTAGACCTAGCTCGGTCCTTGGCAAGACGATCCTCCTCTGATCGATTGGTCCGGCGAGAACCGTGACGAGAGGAGGAAAGAGCAGTTCGACAATTCTCGTCTGATCGATTGATCCTGGGAGATCGATCAGTTCGACTTTTCTGTCTAGCTTGGCTGCTTTCATCTGCGGTGGTCGCAGCATGGGCACCTGGTTTGGCAGGGTTATTCCCAGCTCTTCGAGATCGACCCTTGGCAAGACGATCCTCCTCTGATCGATTGGTCCGATGAGAACCGTGACGAGAGGAGGAAAGACCAGATCGCCGAGCTCTGTCCCTAGCGCGAAGGTCCCCACTTGATTGAATGCCCCGACGGAGACCATCACCAGACGGTGCATGTGAGTGTCCGCTGGTCTGCAAGGATCTCGACGACGAGCTCTTAGCTCTTGATCGAGTGCCCCAACGGACACCATCACCAGACGATGCATGTGAGTGTCCGCTGGTCTGCAAGGATCTTGACGACGAGCTCTTGGTTCTTGATCGAGTGCTCCGACGGACACCATCATCACAAGACGATGCATGCGAATGTCCGCTGGTCTGCAAGGATCTTGACGAGCTTCCAGTTGCCTCGCGTTTTTCTTGAGCGCGTTTGACACGACGTTCTTCTTTGGTTCCTTCCTTCTCTTTTGTCATTGTTTTGTTTTTACTACGTATTGGTATTATAGTGCTGGGCAAAACTGTTTTGAATTGAAAACTGATATATCGCTTCCGACCGCAAGAAATGTGAGTTCCCACAATTTCAAAATTGTGCTTTTATTTCGGCAGAAGTTTGGGCCAAACTTCCTGAGAAGGTGTTTGAAGAAACGTCAGTGGAATTAATGTAGACGTCGAATTGTCTGACAAGTTGTAGAATTTAGTAAGATACTCTTCATATATAAAAACGTCATGGCGAAAAGTACTGTCTGACAAAAGACCTTTTCAATATATAAAAAACGTCAGTGGAGTTTAAAAAAATGAAGACGACGACTTGTCTGACAAAGGGTACAATTTAGTAGGCCTCCAGGTACGAGTATCTAAAGTACAATTTTTTTAGGCTCTTGGCACCTACCGTACAGTATTTTTGCGCACCTTACGAATGTATATGGATATGCGTGCAGTCGATGCCGGCATTATCCGACATCTGCCGAGTGAAAACCCAGACTTTTGGGCAGATCACCGCATCGGTTCTTCGCCATCGAGCAAGGCAGCATGTTGGTCATTTCCGGAGTATTCGTGACAAGGTTCGTTGTGAACGTTCGTGGTCTTGGAGGTGGAGCCGATGGTCATCGGAAAACTATCTTGCTACTGTATGTGGCACCGTTCGTTCTACTGTAGCTACAATACCGCAAAATTGGATTAATGGAATGGATCCATTGGAACAAGCACTTATTGATGTGTTGAACTTTAAAGGTTCGTTGATGTATGCAGTACCTCTTGAAATGTGCTAGGAGTTACAGTTTTGGCTTATTGAAATCATGCTACAATCAACATAGGACTACTGTATGATGGTCGAAGAATAAGAACCATTTGGTAAGCTTGCGCTCTTTGTGGTAAGGTTGATGTTCCTATCTATGCTATTGTTTGGCGCGCTTCATCTCCTATTTGCAAAGATCATAAAATGCTCATCTTTGGTCCAAAGTACAAGTCGCTTCATCAAGATTCAAGAGACTATTCGGCGGTGACGTGTGGAGATCTTTGTTATTATTTTGGTCACAGAGACGACGTCTTCAAGAATCTCTATTGCATGCTGTCGAAACTTTACCTATACTTTCTCTAGAGAGGTGATCGTTATTCTACTGCATGTCATTTTCTCAATTTCATGATGGATCAAATCTAATTTCAATTTGATCTTGATAGCGATGACTGACGACTGGCTATCCTGGACGTCGCTTTCTTGCTTGCTTGATTACTTGGTACCATTCTCCAAGTTCTCGTTGTTGGTGTCTCATTTCGATATTACTTGGTTACTCGAAGGTGGCCCCACCATTCGCGCCACAGCTGAGGTAAGCCGAGTCTTGGGCGAAAGATGAAGAGAAGCTTCCTGACCATTAGTGGCTACCTTGGCAGCATCAGTACCAGTACCGGTAGTAGTTGACGAAACCATTGATTCTGCTGCCTCCGTCATAAAACAGTGCTTCTTGCGACTATTGTTTGTTCCATCATCACCACCCGGTATGGGACCCACAGCTTGTTTGTCACTGTTGCCGATGCCAGAACCAACTGGGACCGCCTTTTTCATACAATCTATCTTTTCTCCTGGCGCTGATCGACGCTTGCGACCACGACTGCTGGACTTTCCGCCATTCTTCCTTTTGCTGCTAGTGCTGGCAAGAATGGGCTGGGCAATGGCTTGGACACAATGAAGACACACGTATAATGGACTAGTAGTAGTTGTTGTTGTAGCCGATGTTGATTGGACCAGGCGAAAAGTGGCGGCCTTGGTGAGAGCAGCAGTTGTGGGAGTAATGGTCTTGGTATTTGTCTTGGCAGCATTGGGATGATGATTGGTGGGGCTACTAATCGTAGCATAATGTTGGGGCAATCCAAGGGCATAGGGCAATTGGCAGGCACGACACTTTTCAGCACACAATACTTGTTGTTGGTTGGTGGTGGTATTCGAATTGGTTGCTGGAGAAATAATGCTGGTAGTGCTGCCTCCCTTGTTGCGGCGCTTGTGCTGTTCTTTCAAGATCTGTTCCATGGCTTGGAGTTCCAATCGAAAATCTTGACCTTGATGCTGGACTTGCTTCATTTGAGCCACCAGCTTTTGATTGGAATGCTCTTTGGATTGACACTTTTGACGACTCTCGTCGAGTTGAGCTTGGAGCTGCTCTTGTTGGGACTTGTACTCTTGTTGACATTCGTCTAGGGTAGATTGCAAAGTAGCAAGTTCTGTTTGGAGTTGCTGTGAAGTGGCTTCCGACTTTTGAGTAGTCGTCAATGCTTGCAAGGTCAAGGTTTTAGACTCTTGTAGTTCATCTTCGAGTGCTTCAATTCGCTGGACATTCCAGACTTGTTTTTGTTCCAGCGTCTTGACGGACTGCTGCCAATGTTGCTGAATTTGTCGTTCCTTGGCCTTTAGATCATTTTGGAGATGTTTGACTCGGTTTTGCAACTTTTCCTTGTCTTGCAACAATGCTTGGTGTTCTTGTTGTAAGTGGGAGTGCTGGCGTTGCTGTTGCATATTGGTAGCTTGAGTTTGAAAGTACTGTTCTTCCATGGATCGAGCCATGTGCGTCAACTCGTCTTGTTGATCTAGGAGTAGCTGTGAAGACTTTTTGGTTTCTTGGACGACGACTTGTAAATTGTGCAATTGCATGGCCAAGGCTTCGTGTTTGTTTTGGCTGGTCTTGGCTTGAGCTTGGTACTTTTGAGTCTCTTGGTGGGCTTGCTGGACCTCCTTTTCGGTTTGATGTATTTCATCTTGTTGTTTCGAAATAGTCTCCTTCAAATGTTCAATTTGCATTTGTGAGTCTTTGTGCTTGGATTCCAAGATTGCGTATTCTTGCTTCAAGAGGGCATTAGCAGCCTTTTCCTTGGCCACAACTTGACGAATGATGGCCG